CTGGAGGCAGACATGCTCCCCCTGAGTTTCGGATTCAGAAGGACACATTCTCAGGGGATGCTGGTGGGGACCCCACTCTCCGATTCATTGCTCTAGACCAGTGGTCCCCAACCTTCCTGTGGCCACACCCCATTTAAGCGTCTCTAACATCCTGATGTGCCCCCCTCCCCCATGACATGGAATTCTTATTATTCAAAAAGTGAGTTCCTATTCACGTGGAGGAAGCCTCAAAGGCCATGAGCTTGGTCTAAACAAGCTTCCAAAGAACATGGCATCCATGACAGAGAAAAATGAAAGAATAGAAGGACAGTTGAAGTACCCTGGAAGAAATCGTTGGGAAAATACTAGTAAGAATAATATGAAAAACTAGCATATAAAGTTTTAAAACATAGAATAGAGACTGAAATGCATAAATATATCACAATATATATTTATAGATTGTACATGAGGGCCCTAGCACCAGAAGAAATGCAAAAAGTTCACTTTTTAGTTTTTTATGTAATATATTTTTATTGATTTCAGAGAGGAAGGGAGAGGGAGAGAGATAGAAACATCAATGAAGAGAGAGAATCACTGATCAGTTGCCTCCTGCACACCCCCTACTGGGGATTGAGCCCATTACCCAGGCAAGTGCCCTTGACCGGAATCGAACCTGGGACCCTTCAGTCCGCAGGCCGACGCTCTATCCACTGAGCCACACCGGCTCCAGCAAAAGTTCACTGTTAATAACTCATTCTCGAATTGCCCCCCTTAAAAATCAAATTGCCCTCCTATGGGGCATGTGCCCCATGTTGGCAACCATTGCTCTAGATTAAAGCCTCAACCCCAGGAGACACAGCCTCCGGGAGGAAGGAGCAGGTAGTGTGGACTCCTTCCCCACCCCTCAATGCCAGGCTCCCCAGGCCCCAGCTCTGGGGAGAGGGGGGACAGTGTCCTTGTGCCAGGGGTGGGGCTTGGGGCAAGACAAGTCCGTAGAACTCACCTCCCAGTAGACCGCATCCTCGAAGCAGTTCTCATCAGAAGCTTGGCCCCAGATGGGTAATTTCAAAATGCCTCCTAAGGAAAGTCAGAGGTCAGGACCCACTTCCTCTCGGCCTAACCCGACCTCTAAATTCTTGGGCTCCCCGACCACCAAGCCTCACAACGGCCCCGCCTCCCCTGGCCCAGCCACTCCCACTCACCCACAATGAGGCCGCCCACCAGGGCCATGGCCAGGGACACGAAGATGCCTGCGGCCTGGAAACTGCCCTGCAGGCTCGCGGACCATTCAGTCTTGAAACCGTCAAGGTTAAAGGCGTGGGCAAGCCTGGGGTGGAGACAGGAGGCAGGTCAGGGCCCCTCAGGGAGGCCACGGAACCCCGTGCTGCCACTCCACAGATGTGAGCGGGCACCACTGTTCCACAAGCCCCGGGCCTCAGCCTTGCCATCTGCAAAATGGGGGCATGGGAGCGATCAGACGGTCTCAGACGTTTGTGGAAGGACAGAGCTTGGGGGAAGAGACCCGTGAAAAAGACGCGTCCCGTTGGGGAAGGACCAGAAGAGAGACACAGTCTGGGTCCCCTGCATCTCCATCTGTACCCTTCCTTATTTAAAAATACATTTTTATTGATGTCAGAGAGGAAGGGAGAGTGAGAGAGATGGAAACATCAGTGATGAGAGAGAATCATGGATCGGCTGCCTCCTGCACGCCCCCTACTGGGGATCGAGCCCGAAACCCGGGCATGTGCCCTGACAGGGAATCAAACTGTGACCTCCTGGCTCATAGGTTGACGCTCAACCACTGAGCCACACCGGCCGGGCCATACATACCCTTCCTGTCCATAAACTTGAATGTTGGCACAGGCCGCCGTCACAGCACCCACGATACCGCCTATGATGCCGGGCATGCCATGCAGGTTGTGGATGCCGCATGTGTCCTGGATCCGTAGGCGGGACTCCAGGAATGGCTGGGGAGGGGGGAGGGGTGCTGCTCAGGCCGAGAGCTAAGGCTGGGGGTGGGGAGGCCAGGATTCTGGAGGTCTCGATACAGAGACCCAGGATTCCCCATTCCCCCTTGCATCCCCCCCTCCGCTCCGGGCCTCACCGTCAGGTACACAAAGCCCAGGGTGGAGACGATGCCGCAGATGAAGCCGACAATGAGGGAGCCGTAAGGCATGAGCATCATCTCGGCGGCGGTGCCCACGGCCACCCCTCCGGCCAGCGTGGCGTTCTGGATGTGCACCTGGGCAGGGCGGGCAGGGCGGGCGGGACGTCAGGCCTCCCGCACGCAGAGCTCTGCGGAAAACCAGCTATGCCATCGGGACAGCTCCTTTCTCTCTGGGCCTCAGTTTCTTCATCCGCGCAATGGGTACAACGATCCTTACACCGCCTGCCTCACAGAGTCCTTGGCAGGGTCTGGGGACGTGTGCCCACCGGGCATAGGCGATCGAAGCTGCACCCCTCCCCAGGTCCCCACTGTCCCTGCCCCCCCTGGCCCCCTGCTCACCATGTCCAGCTTGCCCTTCTTGTGCAGGGCGCTGGACAGCGCCACCGCGGTCAGCACGCAGGCTGCCAAAGAGCAGTAGGTGTTGATGGCCGCTCGGTGCTGGGCGTCTCCGTGATTGGACACAGCCGAGTTGAAGCTGGGCCAGTACATCCAGAGGAAGAGGGTGCCTGGCCAGACCAGATAGGGCGGGGGGCGGGAGAAGAGGCATTAGATGGGTGGGCCACGCCCAGCTGTCTCCCGTCCCTGTCCCTGTACTCATGCTGGGGGCTCTTCTTAAAGGTCCCCCCCCAGCCGCCTCGCTCACTTACCTTCCTCTCCGCCCCAAGAAGTCTTACCCGACCCATGACTGAGCTACCTGCCCCCCAACTGCTCCCACACCACCACCACCAGGGGCAAGTCTTTCTCTCCCGGGACGGGGAAGTTATCTCTTCCATTCTCTGGAATGAATGGGCACAGGGAGGAGATGGAGCACCCCGCCCTGGCCCCAGGATGGGAACCACAGTGTCGGCCCCAGGGCAGCCTGGGGAAAACACAGGGTGGCTGCCCAAAGCATCGGGGATTCTGGAAGGGTCTGTGAGCACCTTCCCTCCCGCCACGGGGAACCGGCAGCGACCGCCATGTGGAGATCAGTGTGACCGCGGCGGCCCTCAGGCATCACGCGGGCCCTCAATCCCCGTGACAGCCTCACCGATCATGGCAAAGAGGTCCGAGTGGTACACAGCGCTCTGTCTGGCCTTGCTCTGGTACAGGTTGGGCCGGTAGAGGACCCAGGTCACTGTGAGCCCAAAGTAGGCGCCGAATGTGTGGATGGTCATGGAGCCCCCTGCGTCCTTCACCTTGAGAACAAGGGGCCAGTCACGCTCTGATGTCCTCTCCCCCCCTTCCCCCCCCCCCCCGCACGCCCTCGCCAAGCC